CAGTGTCAGAGAGCTGCCCGCCGTGAGGCACCCTCATGCCCCAGCTGTCCCCTGCAACAGTCCCTGACACACTCCGGCAGCCATCTGACCGTGGCAGGGCTCAACCTTCCAGACTTCCCCGCAGTGTGCACACTCCTGACCCTGCCTCCACTTCATGCCTGCTGACAACCACTCGCATCTTGCTCACCCCGTGCTGAAGCTTCCCAGGCACTGGAGATGCTGGAGGTCGGGCCTGTGCCTCACCAAATGATGTGCTCACAGGGTCTTTGGCTGCCACTGCCACAGCGTCTCTCTCAGCGGTGCCTTTCCCCTCTTCCTGCTCATCCATCAGTACATCACTGCAGATAGAAGTGCAAAGACAGCAGGGCAGGAAAATGCCCCTTCTCTTGACGGACCGCGGCCTTTCCTCAGCAACCTTGGCACCCAGCACGGCCTGAGAAGCGCCAGCAGCTTTGGCGCCATCGTCTGCTGTCTGCTCTGCTGCCAGGGAACATGACGAAGAGACCCTATCAGCATCTCTGGTGCCCTCCTCAGCACCGGGAGCAGGTCGAGTCTCTTCCTTGGGGCGCTTCCCAGCCTTGGGGGCCGGCACCTGGGTTGTTTGTGCCGGTGTTCTCACAGTGCTGGTGGGTGCACGTTGCGTAGGCCATGCTGGTTTCTGCCAACGTCCTGGTCTTGTGGCTATCGGACGCCTGCGGTACGCCAACCTGAGGGACTTGGGCGTTTTCCTTGCAGGCTCCACAGGCAGTTGAGGGAGACACAGATCTGTCTGCGAGCCCTCATCCCTCGCTGCTGTATCGTGGTGCTGAGGGTTGCCCCGTAGAGATAGGACAGGCAGCCCGCCACTGGTAGCTCCCACAGCACCTGCTCTGCCTGTTGGAGAATTCCTGGGGGCTGCTGCTGGCAGTGTGGACAATGTGGGTGCATTCTGGGGTGCAGCTGTCAGTGGCATTGCCTGCCGCCGGAGAGGCGGCAAGGCTGGCAGAGGCTGCCTCCCTACTCCAGAGCCACTGCTGCGGGGCACTGCCTGCCTGAGCTCTGGTCTGTCCGCCTGCAAGAGAAGCCGAGGGAAAGCATAAGTTAGCGGGGTCCCTTCCTCTCACACTCCACCGGTCCCTGTTGGAACAGGCTCCCACAAGGCCCTGAGGAGCACCCAAAGGGCAGCACCCAGCTCACGGCCACTGCCACCCCGTTCCCTAAAGCAAAACTGTCACAGTACGGCTCCACCCCCAGCAGTCCCCAACACACCCCAGCAGGCTAGCCGCTGCAGCAGGCTCATCCTGCTAGGAGCAGTCCCCACCAGCAGCTGCCACCTGCTCGTTGGCTGCTCCCCGCACTCGGGAAGCCGTTCCCACTTCCCTTGGGCTCCCTACCTGTGCACGGCGGCTCCCAGAGGCTTGCGCGCTCTCCAGGTGGGCTAGTGGTGGCAGATGGATTTCACGGAGGGACACATCCCGGCTCCGGCTGCCTGGCTGCACAGCTTGCTGCGGCCTGCGGCCTACCTGTGTAGGGAGAAGGAGGCATGGGATGAAAGTGGCTGCGTTACCACCAGTGTCCCTGGCAAAGCCCCCATTAGGAGGCTGCTCCTGCACACGGACGGCCCGGCTGAGCTCAGTCCTACTGCTCTCTGCCTCTGGGCGCAGAGCTGCTGGGCCCGCCGCGTGGGCCTGGGCTGGCCTGGGAGTTGGCGCATCCCCAGGAAATGCCCCGGGGCACGAGGAGCGGTGCCCTGGCCAGAGGCGCTCTGGACCCGCCATGGCACCCCAGCCTCTGACGTGCCCTGAAGGATGCCTCTGTGCTTCGGGTGCCGTGGCATCCTTCTCCCTCCCACCACATCCCGCACCTGGCGCTGTTCCTGCACGCTCAGCAGCCCTTTGTTGGGCTGGGAGCGGGCCTTCTCCTGCTCCTTGGGCATCTCTGTATCTTCTCACGGAGACAAAGCTGCAGGTACCCAGGGGAGCCGCTACCTCCTCACGGAGCTGCTCTCCTGAAAGTGAGCAGCACGGGGACTCTGGCTCCTGAAGGCACCGGAACACCCCCGTGTCACAGTGGCCTTTGGGTGTGGTTGCCCCGCGCATCACAAAGTCCTGGCAGTTGCCATGGAGGCCCCGTGCCCCTCTCCTGGCAGCCCCCCCCTTGGCCAACATGTCGAGGTGCCCCTCCTCACACAATCACAGAATCATTAGGGTTGGAAGGGACCTCTGGAGACCATCGAGTCCAACCCTTCTGCCAAAGCACTGTGATGAAGAAGGAAGAACTGCTTGGCGGAACTGGTACCTCTAATGATAAACAGTTGTGCAGAACAGGAATTCTACATGGGTACGGAAGATTTTATTTGGTTTAACTTTCAACGTTCAGAGTATGCATATCTTGTCTAGGTGCAGCAATGCAGTCACATCTCTAGTCGTTAACTGAACAAAAAACAAAAGCACTATGATTTAGAAATCTGGGGTACTTCTCGTTTTTATTTCCTATGGAAGGAAGGAGGGAGGGAGGGAGGGAGGGAGGGAGGGAAGGAGGGAAGGAGGGAAGGAGGGAAGGAGGGAAGGAAGGAAGGAAGGAAGGAAGGAAGGAAGGAAGGAAGGAAGGAAGGAAGGAAGGAAAAGGAAGGAAGGAAGGAAAAGGAAGGAAGGAAAAGGAAGGAAGGAAGGAGGGAGGGAGGGAGGGAGGGACGGGGGGAAGGGGAGGGACGGGGGGAAGGGGAGGGGAGGGGAGGGGAGGGGAGGAAGTGATGGTGGAAAGGTAGGAGGAAGACTCCACTGTGTGTTCTGATAGTTCAGATAGCTACGGATAAGCAGCCTGCACCCAGCTAAATCCCCTCATAGCTACATTTTTATTTCCTATGGAAGGAAGGAGGGAAGGAAGGAAGGAAGGAAGGAAGGAAGGAAGGAAGGAAGGAAGGAAGGAAGGCAGGGAGGGAGGGAGGAAGGAATCAAGTATATAAATTATTTTTCTGTTGCACATAATGAGGTCTACAATTAAGTAGCCATCTTGTTAGAAATATTTGGAATTTTTTCATGACATAGAAAGAAATGTATGTGTTATGTTTTCTGGTGAAATGTCAATGTTGTCCACAAAACAGAGATTTCTGTTTTTATTAATTTGCTGATTGGTACATCTTATCTTAATTTGTCTTCTATTTCTATTTTAAATAACTAAATAAGTGATGACTTACTTATCTACCAAAATTTTAGATAGCCTAATAACAATTTTTCATAGTGTTCATAAATCTTTCATTCTTAGGAAATCATATTCTGCAATCTGCTGATTGCTTTTTCTTTCTTTCATTTGTATTACTTCTCCCTGGAATAAAATCTACTTATCAGAGCACCAAACAAAAAATCGACAGTCATTAAGAATCAAAATGGTCAATTCAAACCCATTTTAGCCAAAAAAAAACAATCAATTCAAACCCATTCCTTGCCACAAAAGGAATAATTAACTAATCAGTATAAGCAAATTAAGTTATTTACTACTGACAGACTGATAATTGTAATAGAATTCGACTTTTACAATATATTTACTGCATTAATCATTACCCAAGTATTACATCCATTCCTTATAATCATGAATTTTCTTCCATGTGAAATGCAGTTTTTCCACTGAATGAGCAGTGGAGATTGCAAACCTCATCACAATCCACAGCTATGACAGAAGAGCTTCTCAATGGTGCTAAGCATGATTATCCTCATTTCTGTTTTTAGTATATTCTCTGTTTATACCATTCAAGATCCTGTGAGGCAGTGTCCCTTGGAATTCAGTTTCGAAAGGTAAAGGAGATCCAGGAGGCTGAACACTCTTCATGAAGGAAGTCTTAAAATTGTAGGAGCAGATTATCTCCTGTGCCATAGGATGAGCTAGTAGGAAAGACTGGTGTGGATAAACAGGAAATATTTCCCGAAACTCCAGGAGAAAAAGATAGACTACATCCTCTGGAAGAAGGGACAGACAACTAGGAAAGAGTGCAAGAATGCTGCTAGGATACGCAGTGAGAAAATTAGAAAGGCAAAAACCCAGCTTGAACTCACATGAGCCACTGGAGTGTAAGAGAAAAAAAACATTTTTACTAATACATTAACAGTAAGAGAAGGACCAAGGAGTATCTCCATATTTTGCTGCATGTGGCAGGGAGTGTGACCACTGTAAGGAAAAGGCTGAGGTTCCCAATGCCTTCCTTACCTCTGTTATTAAATTCAGACCAGTTATCCTCGGAGTACTCTGTGTCTGACCTGGAAGTCTTTGACAGAGAGCAGAAAAAGCTTCCCACAATTCAAGTGGAAACAGAGATGTACAACTGCACCTGGACTTCCACAAGTCCATGGCCTGGATGGGATCCATTTGAGAATGCTGAGGAAGCCAGCAGAGGTGACTACCAAGCCACTTTCCATCATTTATCAGTGTTCCTGGTCAGCTGGAGAGTCCAAGAGGATTGAGGACTTGCCAGTGTGACTCCAGTATACAAGAAGGGTTGTGAAGGGGATCTACAGGTTTGTCAGCCTGACCTCAGTGCCAGGTAAGATTATGGAGCTGATAATCGTGGGAGAGATCACACAGCATGTGTGAGACAAATTACAAGATCAGGCTCAGCAAGCATAGGTTATGAAGGGCAGGTCCTGCTTGACCAACTTGATCTTCTTCTATAACAGTGAACCACTGAGTAGATGAGGGAAAGGATGCCAACATAGTCTTCAGCAAGCCTTTGACACTGTGTCCCACAGTATCCTGGAGAAGTTGGCAGACTGTGGCACGGACTCATACTCTCTCTTCTGGGTAAAGAATTCGTTGTCCCCAGTGGGTGAACTGTGAGGTTACATCCTGAGCCAGTGTTTGAGCACCTGGTGAAGAGGTGTAGCCAGCTCTGTGAGCACAGGTGGAAGGAATTCACCTTTGCAACCATAAGGGTGTTCACTTGTCCCTGACCTCATGTAAGGGCTGGCAGCCACCAGGAAGTTTCTCTACTTGGAGACTGCTTTCTTTGGAGTGTTTGATGAGCCCTGATCCTTGGAAAAGGGTTTGCAATTCCTTTTTTATTATTGGTTTGTGCTTGATGCCTTTCTTGGGTTTAAATCAATTGTATATGCTACTGTCTATCCTTACATTTGGCAAGCCAGGTAGAAGCACCTATAAAAGGCAATATTAATTCTGAAATGGCTTTGTTAAAGTCTGTAGCAAGTTGTTTTGTATGGGGAAAAACCATTTTCTTGGAAGAGGAGTTACTTGGGCACATTCTGGGATTTCCTGGATGCCCTTGCTATGGGCTTGCATCCATAGCAGAGATCCCATTACAGAATGGGGAGAACATTGCAGTTCCCCAGCCTGAATGAAAGCATATTTTGAGGGCCCTAGATAGGATATTTTGATTAAGAAAGAAAGCCTGCTGCATCCATTACAACCTGGCCCCTGTTAATGGCTTTAAATCATTTAAATACCTTAAAACAATATATTGAGGATGAAAATTGGCTATTGTGCAATCGAGTTAAACAGCTAGAATGTAAGACTGCTGTAGTTAATAGATAAACCTACCCAAACTATTATGTTACAGCAAGTCAAGGCCTTGTCTCTCACAAACGAAGGACACCCCAAGCAACTGGACCCCTATGGCCCTGACAAGATTGGCGAGGAGAATTCTAAAAATCCTGAACTAGACACTTTGGCGGAACTGGAATTTCTAGAAATCTGGCCAAGAGTCACTCAAAAAAAAGCAAGAAAATCCAAGAAAGACGTATGGGAGTGCCACCCGAAGAATGGCTTTGTCTCCCAAGCTACAAAGCATGTTACTGCACGCCGTATATGGCCACTGAATTGATGGACTTAGACTAGTCATTCCAGCGAAGCCCGAGGGAGATTGTCCCAGCCTGGTTTTTGAGACTGGAATAGAGGAGCTGAAAGTGTCGTGGTAAATAACCCAGAAATTTTCAAACTAGCCCCTATCATGACACAGCCAGCACTGACGCAAAAGTTATGCCTACATGTACAAGTGTTCAGTTTTGGGCCCCTCACTGCAAGAAAGACATTGAGGCCCTGGAGCATGTCCAGAGAAAGGCAATGAAACTGATGAGGGGTCTGGAGCGCAAGTCTTATGAGGAGTGGCTGAGGGAGGTGGTATTCTTTCCTCTGGAGAAGAGGAGGTTCAGGGGAGATCTTATCAATCTCTACAGTTCCCTGAAAGGAGGCTGTGGTGAAGTGGCTGGCAGTGTCTTCTCTCATGTAACTAGTAAAAGGATGAGGGGGACTGGCCTCAAGTTGCACTAAGGGATGTTCAGGCTGCATGTTACGAAAAATTTCTTCTCTGGAAGAGTAGTCAAGTGTTTAACAGGCTACCTCGGAAGGTAGTTGTGTCACTGTCCCTGGCAGTGTTCAGGAAACATTCAATTGTTGTACTAGGGGACATAGTTTAGTGGGGAAATATTGTCGGTAGGTGGATGGTTGGATTGGATTATCTCAAAGGTTTTTCCAAACTTGGTGATTCTAATCCTCTCTCTGTTTACTTGTAAACCTTTCTGTTTACTTGTAGCTTTTGCAAGCAACTTACGGAAACTAACAGGTTTACTTGAGGAAAACCCTTTATATGCACCCTCAAAAGAAAAAAAAAAAAGAAAGTAAATCACCAGAACAATTCAGTTTTTCCCCTTTATTTACTATCAAATTTAAGGTAGCCTTGAATCCATGTCTCTGCATGTAGGTCTACTCCAATAAAAATTACAGATACGATTTCTACTATGTTACATAAGTCATTTCCCATCCTTTGTGTGAAGAAAATTGAGTAACAAGTAATATTTAATGAAAACATGAGAAACTAGCTTATTAGGAAATTATGCATGGCATTCATATGCACAGATGTGAGTACAAGACAGGGTTCTTCACATTATCAGTGAATCACTTTGGCAGTTTCCTCAGTTATCACAACACCTTTGTCTTTTAAAACAAGATCCCTCATTTTGCAGGTGATTAAATCCTAAAAACCTATGGTCTAAAACATAAATAGCCCTAAACACTAAGTCTATAAAACAAGAACACTTCGACTCTGTTCTTTTTAATTTCCTTCTTGATTGGAAACACAAAATATTCAGTTTAGAGCTAGTCGAGTCTCAGGAAGTTCGTTGCCTCAGATTTTCAAGATTCCCACTTAATATACAACATCATCACCTATACAGAGAGTCAAACCTGTTTGCATTTTGATTCTGGGTGATTATTCTGTGTTGTGGATAGACAATGACCAAAAGTATCACAGGCCATGATTTACTTGGACTGATGTATGACTTCTGCAGTATTAACCCATGATTTTTAGCTCCCTCTAATATAAAGCAGTATTCCAAATACATTTGGAAATTTAGTCTCTAAAATTTTACATGGGATGCATGTCATTAGTCAGTATTTGCAAGCCAAAAAGATAGAGGTGATATGATTATAACTTCTGGAAACTCTCTGGAATGAATATTGGACAGAGGGTTGTCCTGGCTGTTGCTTGGGAACAGATAATTGTTGAAAATCATACTAATGT